TTTTTCGAAAAAAATTAACCCATATTTTTGATTTTGGACAAAGACAACGGTAAATTGTAAATTGTAAATTGTATTTTTTTTGTATTATTTAACCCTGGTTTACTAAGGTGAAACCTCCTGATTACCTAATTTCACACTAGGTAAGGAAGACAATCAACGTTATATTTTTCATGGGTCGACGTCAAACCAATTGCCGTGAATTATTTTTGAATGTTAAATATCTTGATTTTATCACTCTAAATTATTAATTCCTCATAAGTATTGAATTTTCGGTAATTTCATCAATTGCTTGTTGTCGATTTTCTTTTATTATATTACTCTTCGGATGACTTTAGCATTTAAAACATATCGGAAAGCAACTGTAGTTCGGCCAAATTCTTTGTATTTATGTATGACGTCATGAACTGTCCTTTCTCCAATTATCTTTTTCAGAAAAACCACACTTCCAAGCGTCGATTAATCTCGTCAAGCGAAAATTTGTTAATTTCTGCAAATATTAATTAATTTGACGTCGTTTGAAAGCTCAAGCTTTCAGTTTTCTAACGAGCCATTGTGCGACTTTTGTATGTCGCACAATTAACAATTAGTCACCCAAAAAAAATTTATTAAACTTTTGTCCAGCAAGTGTACGTATAGTATTTTGTCGTATAATAAAATATTGCAGCACATGATCCTACAAATAATATGTATTAACGTTAAGTACCAAATGTATGAAGTTCAATTTCTTAAATATTCACGCTCATGATACCATATCCGCGGAAACGTCCGCCAAAATACGCAGATTCCCCACGGTGATTTACACTTATTTTTGGAAGAAATGGACTGTAACGGATTTCTAGAAAAAAAGATTGATGATAAGATTATCCAGTTTTTAAAGATAACTCTAATGAGAATTGAAGTAGCTCAAATTTAACAGTGCTCCTGTCCCTTTTTCCGATTATCTAATCTGATCTACTTCCGAATTTTTCCTCTTGTTTAAATGCACATGTACTTAAATGTACACATGACTAAACTTTAGTTTCATTGGTTCAAACTGGATACAAATAATTCGTGTATGTAAACGAATAGAATTTCAAATACTTTATATTGGCTGATTTTAAATATAAAAATATTTTGACATGGTTGATAAAAATTATGGTTCACCAATAAATTATTTTTTATTTATATTTCTGGATTTTCGTCGTCGAAAAGAATGGTTGCATTTGCATACATTATCTTCTCTCTTATTCTTTTGTGTAACGGGAAAATGTTAGAAGGTGTCGTGTATTGTCAGCCAAAAAAAACTCCGCATAATTTTGCATTTTCTTTTGTCATCCACAAATCCCTGTTCATTTCGTGTTTATTGACATGACATTTTGGTGGCTGCTGCAGTGTTAATGCATACATTTATCTTATCTCGTTTTCTATCATATACGCCCATTAACAAATTAGTTTGTTTCTCAACATAACTGTATAAAGTTCGTGTCGTGTTAATTCTTGCGAAGTTAATACGCAAGAAGTTTCGAGGTGAACTACATGTATAAGGTAATATGTAATCAAACACATGTAACGCTGTTTCGCCGGGAAATAAAACAGTTTGTAACATTTGAATAAAGATTAATTTACATTATTTGTTTCATTCGACGCAATAGCTTTATTATTAATAATTATATAAATGCATGTCAAATCATTAACGGGAAATTTCAGTCGTGATCTACATTATCGTATTTAGCTCACAAAGGGTAGGACCACGTTGTATGATGATACACATGAAAGAGATAACAAATGGTGAAACAAAAACTATCGTATAAATCCGCATGATTCTTTAAATTTTATTATGCTTCAAATTTTCCCCTCGACACGCATCAAAACACACTACCACATTCACTTATTTCCCTTTTGACGCTCTTTTATATTTAATGCTTCTTTTTGTAAATTTTGTTTATAAATAAATTCCAGTTTTTATTATCAGTTGTATAAAATTATATTGTGCTTTAGATTAACGTAAATAGACAGAAAGAGAATTCACGATAGAATCAAAGAAACGCAGTTGTAAAACAAAAACTTCCCAAAAATTATATACATACAACTACATTCGAATGTCTACAGATAGCATAGCACTTGGGACCCCTGTATATACATTACACAACTCTATGGTGCCTCGTGCGATTCCCTTAAAAAATTCAGATATTTTTACACTTTTAGAAAACTCCAGTGAAAAGAGTCTTATTAGCAGGGATAATTCACAGATTAAAACCAGTCCATTTTTCTCGAATAAAGCGTACGCGTCACAAGTTGAGATAAAAGTGGATTTACCAAGTGATGATGAAAACGACGATGACCTGTCGAGTCCGACAGTACGTCGACAAGTAACTGAGAAGACTTCACAAGATGATATTGATGCAGATCGACAATCCATTAGTTCGCAATCAGAAGAAAATTCAATTAATCGAAAAGAACTGCATCACATGGTAATGAAGCATATTTGGAAATCGAACTATTCAGCCCCTATTAAAAAGCAGCTATCTCAAGGCGGATTAAAAGTTTTAGATGTCGGGTAATGCATGCAGTATTCATTGATGCAAACATCAAATGGTTAACATCAAAATATTAATCACAACTCATAATTCAATGTAGATGTGGAACAGGGGCATGGTTAGATGAAATGTCCGCCGAAAATCCTAAATCGACATTCACCGGGATGGATATTAATTCATCAGGCTTTGAAATTGAAAATCAACATGGGAATGCCGGATTTTTTGAATATAACCTTTTGGATGGCTTGCCTTTTCAAGGTAAATAGAAGCACTAGCATGAATTCTTCGACTCACTAATAGCATTTATTAACAATATTTATTATTCTAAGATAACACGTTTGACTACGTTCATCAATCATTTCTAAACCTTTTTTTGACCGAAAAGCAATGGAAAGAAATAGTAATTAAAGAGTTGGTTCGTGTATGTAAACCTGGTGGTTATATTGAGCTTTTCGAAAGTGATCTCCAGTATATTAATGCTGGTGAAGCGACACATACCATAAATCGATTCTGTAAGTATCACTGAAAAATTGTAGTATTAAAATTTAGCAAGGATGAAAATCGTATTAACTTTAGCTTTATCGAAAATAACTCTCAGTTCGTTCAGCGTATAAACGACGAGGTATAAATCCAGTAATGTGCACACATCTTGTACGGTTACTTGAAGAAACAAAAGTTATGACTAAAATCACGGTAGAAGAGCGACTTATTCCATTAGGTGTCCGGAAAGGATTGATTAGTAAAATGGTATTTATTCCTCTTGATTTATTATCCTCGAATAACATCAAGTAAACAAATATTTGACGTATTTTCTTTAAAAAGGCAACTGAAGGAATAATTAAATCACTACAGTCTGCTCGAGATGTTCTTTCCAACCTAATGAAATACAGTCTCGAAGAGTATGACAACGCATGCGAAATTATTCGTAGAGAATACGACGAACATAAAACAAAGATTCCAACGTGTCGTATTTGGGCACAAAAAATCTCAAATAATAATCATGCAACATAACCTTTGACGCCCTAATAAAATATGCAAAGTTAGATAGAAACGACGACTTCTTTGTTCCTTTATATTTTCGCCTAATAAAAGTGTACGACTTTAGCATTAGATATAAAAAGACCATTATATTTATTCTCTGTATTATTTTTTTAATGTATTTATTACACGCGTGCGTGGCATAAACGATATCACCTTTTTTCATGTAAAATTTAACCTTTGTAAAATGTTTATATTATAAATATACAAATTCATATTTGCATTCAACATACGCGAATTTTATTATATCCGAGTGTTTCAATTGTAACTTTATTTACGCAGCATTAATCAATAACGATATTGAAGAGAAAATATGCCGCATATTAAAAAAAACGGTTTTTAAAGCATATATTTTTATTATACGTAACAATATACATGTACATGAACATCGAAATATGGGATACGTTAGATATTTCTAACAAAACTGATCACTGCATTGCAAATACATGTACATGTATGTCATAATGGTCTTGTAGATACGTGTAATATTGTCCCATATCTGATATTTGTTCTTTGTAAAAGATAAAATCATCGCCGCCATCAGTGTTGCGCATGTATGCATCTCGATATTAATTATCCAGATGTATACATCGCGCAGAAGATAAACTAGCGGATCTAGAAATTCCTGTTTTACTTTTCTAATACCAGTTCAAAAAAAGAATTTTTTGTGAAATGGCTAAATAACCAGTTATTTCTAAGCAAAAAGTGGGACCAGATGAAACGTATACATGTATTTACAAAGTGCATGTACTGTAAATTCAAATTTTAGCTGAGAACATTGTCAATGCGTATACATAAAAGGACAAATGATATGAGGGCACACCAATCATCATCCTCGAATGGGCTCTCTCTTTACGTAATGACAGAATCTTTTTTCAAGTAAATTATATGCGTACTTGTTAAATTTTTCAGACATCAAACATGGAATAACCGAGTTAATAAAGTAATCTAGAAACGATCTTGTGTGTTCAAGATAACGATAAGTAAATAATCCACCGTAGTTAAACTTTTGATATGTTTAAAAATTTATCATTAGAAAATACCCTGGCATGGAAACTTCAAGTTCATACGTTACTAGTAATTTTTGTAATGATGTATAAAAATATCAAACAACAATTAATCTATTAGTGCTTTTGATTCATGCGTATCAATATTTTCTTTTAAACGTGCTAAAGTTTATCATGCTAAAAATAGAAAACTTTCATTATATGACAAGACCATGTATCAAAGTAATTCATATTCATAGTTTAGAAAGTTTGAGGATGAGAAGAGGATTTTTGGCGGTTCCTTATGACCGATATTATGAATATACTTCCTGAAATTGCTTTATTGTAAGAATCATGTGAGTGTGTTAATTGAAAATAAACTATAGGTAAAAGTAAACTCTTTAAGAATTTCTTAAAAGCGTCTATGAGATCATAAACGATTCTTATGATTTAAAAATATCAGAATTAATTTTTTGTAAAAAATTAATCAAGCAAAGTAAAATCCACTCAAATATTCTTTGACGTTAATTTCATTTATAGATTGCCTTTTTTGTCAAATTCAAATAATAGTCGATTTAAATCTTTTGTCAATAGCAGAAGTTTTCAAAGTTGTTAATTTATGTTCCATTATTGTCTTTTTGATTTGATTTAGCCTGTCTAACCCTATAACACAATTCAAAGTAAAATTTGATAGATAATAAATATTTTGCTATTCAGCTTTCTATTTAAAACTATTCCAAAATATCTCGTAATCTTAAGTAAATTCTGCTTGAAGATTACTGGATTTGGTGTGCGTTGATAACCAAAATATGAAGTAATATTTCCACATATGCTGCATAACGAATGATCAGTACCTCTGCTAAAATAAATTATTACTAACATTTCAAAAAAAAGGTCAATTTACATACTGTTTACAGATAAACCAATCAAATCGCAAGATATGAAATATTAATAGCATTTCATTTAGAATTAGGGTTAGAAATAAAATTAAATTGCATGTGAGAATCTATAGCAAATTTTTGAAATACTTTTTCGCATTTGTTTTGAATTTTTTCATTACACATTAATATCCTAACTATGGCATAAAAAAGCTACTTTCACATAATAACAATCCAGGACTATTAAAATATTTGATTAAATATGAAATGTCAAATATTAGGATTAGAGTTAGAGTTTGAACAAAGAAATATATGTAAATTAATCTTTTCAATAGTGCTTCAAGCTAGATTTGAATAGTTTTTTTGTCTTATTCATTTTTCTGAGCCAGATTTGTTTTGTTGATTGATTAAAAATTTGCTTTATTCTTATTAATTATGCAAAATTTTTGTGTATTTTCATTATTTAGACATATTATTACATTCTAAATATAATCTTTAAATTATTAGATAATAACTTATAATTTATATAAATTCTTTTATAATTATCTTTATTGAGTTTTTAATATCATTATCGCATTAATATTATAAATTTAATTATTATTTATCTTTAGATATATTTATATTCAGTCTAATACTTATATTATTATTATTATTATAAACTCGCTTATATTAGTAAATAATTAAATGTATATATTAGAAAAAATTGATTATATATTAAAATAATAATAATATTAAAATCAATATATTTATTTTATAAATACAGTGGCAACCAAAAGTAATGACTCAGGAGCTAAATTTATTAATAAAATATAGTGAAAATTGAAAGTTTCTCTCTATATTAAAATTTATAATTTTATTAAGAAATAATTTTTATTTTTATATTAAA